AACTCCGATAAACCGTATATTGCCGTAGTCGTGTGTTTATTAGTCACGTTGAATCAATGAAAGCAGTTGAAGCTTCTGTTTATTCATCTGCAGCGTTAGGCATTTTCTGGGTTTCTTCTGCAAGGCGTATTTGGAGTTTCAGCGCGAGAGCGCCCTCTGGCCTTTGGATGGAGATTTACTGCTGATCACAGAACCGTGCTTCACTGAAAGATACGCATGACAATCGCAGTTTTTGTCGAATCGCGATTTCGATTCCATTTCGATTTATCATGCAGCCCTAGTTGCAATACATTTTGAAAAGTCAAATCATTTAACTTATAAATAATTACATGCGATAAATGCTACCATAATGTATAAATACTGGAAGAGAAAGAAAACATACATTTTATTGTTAGAGTAATGAGAATTAAACTGTATCTTGCATTACATTAATGAAAATTGGGGGATATAACAAGCTTAATTGTCCTGAAAATCTGTAGAGCTGCTTTAATTTAATTTAAATTCCGTTTAAAATCAATTTGTTTCATAATCGATGAATTTTGCTATATAAACTCTTATTTTCCTGTTTTATTAATGTGAAGCTTCTTTGAAACATTCTGTCATGTATAAAGCACTGTATAAATTATAGCGTTTCTGCGGGTCTTTAAAAGTCTTAATTTGCCCTTCTACAAATTAAGGTCAGAGCAGAAAATCTTAAATTCATAAAGTCTTTGTGTTTTCCAAACAAGTACAACTATCTACACATCAACTCAAGATGCATTTACTTGAGGTACAAACTGAACATATGAAGTCAAATTGAACAAAATTAAGTAAGTTTATGTTTAAAAGAAGAATATATATCTCTCAATAGGGGAATAAAAACTTGTTTTCCCTATTGAATTAAGTAGAACCAATTATATTTGTTCTTATTTTAATCGTAAACTCACTTCATTTTGATCTGTTTCTCATAAAACAAGGCTTATGTCATTTTGCTTTTAGAGTAAATTTATCTTGCTTTAAGAATCTTTAGACTTTTGCACTGGGAAACAAGACAAAAATCATTTTTATTTTATTTGTTTATTTGCAATGTGATCAGAAGGTACAGTAAAAACTGTATTTTTTCTAGTGTACTTTTTTTGTAAAATGACTAAGCAGTGTAGATCTTGATAATGGTCACAATGCAAAAAAAAGAGATCCTAATAGTACACTCTGTATATATTATTTATTTCACCCCATTGCCTTCAAACTTTCTAGTACATGCAGTAATCGATTTTGGTTTATCAGAGACGACAGCAAAACGACGACAGGAAATGGAAAACGAGCCGCTGCGTGAGTCACATACACACCTCTGCTTTGCATCTTCTTCAGTAGCAGCTTCATGACAGCACTGCTTCATTACGTAACTTTGCTTTTTCTCAGACTCCAGGATGGTGAGCGAGAAGGAGATGATGATGGTGGCCGGCTGCATCGGGAACAGCTGGAGGGAGGTGGGCATTATGGCACTGGGTATGAACACCACCACTCTTCAGCAGATAGAGGAGGACAACAGCCAACACAAAATGCGGGTTTTCACCATGCTGCGAAAATGGAGCATGCGTGAGAGGGAACAAGCCACGGCAGCTCGTCTCCATTCTCTACTGACCCAAGAAGAGAACGGCATGGACACTCTGAAACTCAACTTCCTGTTGGAAGACAACTGAGGCTGCTAAGAGGAGTTTAATTGGGTGCTGCAGCCATAACATCAAAACCCGGAAGTCTAATTCACCATGGGTTCCCTCAAGATTTCATGGGTTTTTATAATGGGGTCATGATTAAAACAAGGTCTGTGGTAAATATAAATGGCTAATGCTGAATTACACACACACCCATACTTAAACCATGAATTTTGAAGCAGTTATGCTTATTTTTAAAAATGTATGGTTGTAATAAATGACTACATAAGAATGTTTGGGTTGTATGCAGTTTACATTGTACAACAAATCTTCTAAGTAACGTGATACCACTGACCTTATTTTACTCATGAATTTAAAGAGATAGTTCACCCAAAAATGAAAATTCTGTGATCATTTACTCACCCATCACTTGTTCCAAACCTGTTAGAGTTTCTTTTCTTCAGCTGAACATAAAAGAAAATATTTTGAAGAATGTTGGTGACCACACAGTTGACGGTAGCCATTGACTTCCATTATGTTTTTTGCATACTATGGAAATCAATGGCTACCGTCAACTATTTGGTTAGCAGCATTCTTCAAAATATCTTCTTTTGTGAGTAAATGATGACAGAATTTTTGGGTGAACTATCTCTTTAAAAATCCTATTATAAAAACCCATATGAAAATCTCAAGGGAACCCATGGTGAATTAGTCCTGTGGGTTTTGAAGTTGACAGCTGCAGCACTTTTTATACATGTAGCACTTGCAGACATGTAGATATACCACTAGAGGGAACTATAACTGCTTGTCACTTCTATAAAAAACTTTTCATATTTATATATTTTTTTCTTTTAGTAAATGCTATGTATAAGTCAGATACATACTTGAAATAATAGGGCAACTTTCAAACGCACCAAGCTAAAATGCGGGCATTTCAAATATTTTTCTTAAATTTGATGTGCAAACTTTTTTTTGTTGTTGCAAATATCAAATATGCAAAGATTTAAAAAAAAAAACTATGTAAATCATGTACATTTGTAATGCAAATGTAATGCTTTTTTTTCAAAAAGGGGCCAGACTGAATTAACTGTCCATGTCATTGTTTTATTCCAATGTTTTATTTTTTTATGGCATTATTACTTAATTATTTTTATCTTAAGCTTATTTTTTCATGTGAGATCAATTTCCATTCCTACTTTTTAGATTGCACTTCAGCTTGTGATTTCTTTCTGATGGTACAAATTGGCTGATTTGTATTGTAGCATTCCATCTTAATGCATTCTACAGAATAATGCTTTTCCTTTTCAAGTAAATGAATGTGAAAGCTTTTATCAAAGTCTTAACTTGAACTGATTCCATGAACAGATAAGGAAGTTTAAAAAGTTTTATGTTCCAATAGAGACTGCTATCTGGCAACATAATGGCGACCTTCGCTCTCTCGGCAAGTATCACGTTGTTTCACCCTGGTGTTTTTTCACCCTGGTGTTTCACCCTTGTTCACCCTTGTTCACCCTTGTTTTGCATGCCAAGCAGGTGATAGGATTGGAGGCGGAGCTTTGTATAATTCCATTACACGGGCCTGTCATTAAACAGCATCTAGTCTTGCCAGACTTCATGGAATCTTTTGCTGTGGGATTATAAAACTTGTTTTATTTGATAGATTGCAACCTGATGAGGAAACAATCATTTCAAATTTGTTATCATGCTTACATGAATTGGATTTCATGTAACTTTTTTTCTGTTATTGTACTTTTTTTTGTACCGTTTTGTTACTTTATGTACTTGTATGTCTTATTTCTGTTTTGCAGATTGATCATGTTTCTGGTGATGGGTTATTTGTAAAAAAGTCAAATGAATATAAATAAAAATAACTAAATGAATCATAACTGTCATTATGATAAAAGTTTGAGGTTATTTTTTATTGTTTTATAGCTGGTTTTATTGTATAATTTAGATATTTGTCAGATTTGCGTTTATTGTTTTATAGGCTTAAGCTATAAATAACTGGTTTCCCGAGAGTTTTTATTTTATTTTATTTTTTAGGTTTAGGGATGGTGAAGAATGGAAAATCTTCAACTCATCTGTTCATTCGGAATCTCTGTATTTTATTTGTTTATTTATTTTTAAATTGCATTTGTTGTCCATGTACATTTTCAGTTTCATATTGATTCAGTTTTGATTGTTTTATTTGATTAGATTTTGGTTAACCAAAACCTGGAACATGCAGGAAGGATTTCTTATGTACAAGCATTGAAAAATTATAATGGTCAGATTTGCGTTTATTGTTTTATAGGCTTAAGCTATAAATAACTGGTTTCCCGAGAGTTTTTTTTTTATTTTATTTTTTAGGTTTAGGGATGGTGAAGAATGGAAAATCTTCAACTCATCTGTTCATTCGGAATCTCTATTTTATTTGTTTATTTATTTTTAAATTGCATTTGTTGTCCATGTACATTTTCAGTTTCATATTGATTCAGTTTTGATTGTTTTATTTGATTAGATTTTGGTTAACCAAAACCTGGAACATGCAGGAAGGATTTCTTATGTACAAGCATTGAAAAATTATAATGAAACTACTTGTAAAATTGAATTTCCAATTCGTTGGGGCAAAATATTTTTCCAAATGAATCACTTTTTGATGACAGCAAAATGATTAACATGCAAATATTCAGTTACTTTTTTCCATAGGAAACCTAAGTTACCTTTTTCCATAGGAAAGACTTTTTCTGTAAGATAACTGACCTGCATTTGTCCTGGCTTTTTTTGAACCCTGTGACATTCCATTCCACTCTTCTTCTGAGTGAGAGAGTGTGTGTGTGTGTGTGTGTGTGTGTGTGTGT